ATAGGCCTTCACAATCACAGGAAGTGACGATGATCTGACCCACGATCTTCACAAGCCGCTGCCCCTCCCCAGGCATGGCCTGTCTCTAAGGAAGAGCCTACGCCCGTTTCCACCATGATGCTGCAGAAGAAACCAATATTTAGGTTATTAGAACAAAACAGGAAGAGCAAGCTCCCATCTGTTTGTTCTCATGCAAAGCTAACAGTTTTTGTAAAGCGGATTATTTCAAGATTTTTCTCCTTTCTCTTTAACATAGCTATCAGATTTTTTTAAGGTAACCTATTTGTGCTGGGATAGTCCATTCAGTGCCACAGTACATATTAACACCCAACCCACACTGGCTTCTCACTTCCTTCTCTCATTTCTGCTCTATTAGCATGTCTACTTATTCACTTATTTAGTCAATGAATATTTATAGAAGGTCTTTGTGCCCCTGACCCTCTGCTCTTTGAACATTAGGCTCAGAATAGGGAGGAGTAGGGGAGGTAGCCACTAGGAAGCCTACATGAGAGTCTGAGGGCCGTACAGAACCTGAGGTCAGTGCCTCACCGCCCTATGGCCCTACGCCTGGCATATGGCAGTTCATCCACGACATCTCCAGTCTAGCCTCTAGTTCTTCATCAACGGTTCAGAGACTGTCATCTTACTCTGTTGGAGCCCGTGGGTTGCAGCTGTCTTTGAGGAGGGCTATTCCAGGTAACAGGACAGACATGGCTGTGGCACCTGCATGATATGATGCTCATGTCATCCGGTGGCTCTGACTTCTCACCGAACCAACAGAGAACAGGAGCATTAGGCCTGTGACTCCCATGCTTACTGGTCGCTTTCTCTCAGGTGAGTATTTTTCCCAGTCTCCAGCCTTCCCACCAACAAGGTTCTTCTAGGACATCATGGCAGCCAAAACACAATGAGTGAGAGGTCTGCTCTCATTCTGCAGAGACCGCCTCAGTTCTGTGTTTCTGTAAGTCTGTGCTCCAAGAATCCAACCTGCTTCTTATTGGGAAAAGCTGATGAGAATAAAAGCCACATGAAAGTGTTTGCCACAGAGAACAGGGATCCAGATGCTTCTGGAAAGTTATGCTGCTTCTGAACAAGAATAAAGATGCCCAAGGAGATAGGAAAACAGGAGGCCTGACCCTTGTGCTCAGGAACACATGATATCAGGAATCCACACTTCCCCCATAAAAGTCCAAGAGGACAATGCCTGGCACTTAGCTAAGAGACAAATAGAGTATGGGTTTATAATTCTGTAAAGAGAAAGAAACAGATGTTAAACTTGAAGCATTCCTTTTTTGGAAAACCATTATGAGCAGTGTATGATTTGAGAGAAAGTTAAAAAGCCCCTGCAAACAGACTGTTTACCATATCCAGTAGCACCATTGGGAATGGATGTTTATTCATCTGATAAAAACCTCCCAAGATGAGGGCCCCAAGCTACCACATCAGAGACACTCCCAGTTTGCTAAGTCTTTAATTAGCCGCCACAGCCGCTGATGGTGAGGGATAATTATGCGTTATTCTCATGGTTAACTAACTTTTTTTTTTTTTAACCAGAATTCCTGGGGTGAAGTGAAGAGAAGCCTGCTATGGTATGATTTCAGAACCAAATCCCAACTATGTCAAGTTATTTTACAGCTTCCTCCGATTATATTGTTTCACAGGAAACACATTAAGGAAATGTGAGTGCCTGATAACAGCCTTTACATATCTGAGTGGGAGCTAAGCGTTACTCAGTTATGGTGCCTGCACTGGAGGCGTGCAGGGTTCTCCACGTACAAACAACACTCAGCTTTCCTGCGGCCACTTTCCCTTAACCTCCACATGGGCACGTGTGTGTCGGTTGGGGCATGCATGCCGTCAAGCAAACTTTGGACGGGGCCTGTGAGTCTTTTCTGTACCATATAAGTGACTTTTCATGCAAAACCCACTGGTACCTTTATGGCCTCAGGGTGTTAGACAGTGACTGACCAGGGGTGTATTACAATGCAGATCAACTCTTCACAAGACAAGTGCTTTAAATAGGGGAAAATGCCATGTCTTTAGGATTGCTCAATGATTGGTTTGAGATGAGAGAAAACAACATGTCTTGGGGTGCATGGTCAGCACCCCGTGGCCTGGAAACTTATCATCTTCCAAAGCTGAGGTGGGCAAAGCTACAGCACCTATGTTTACCCAATCCCTCCCTCCCCTCCCTGTGACTCTCTCCAGCAAGGCTAAAGCACTTCAATCCATTCATTCTTTACCTGCACTTCAATCCATTCATTCTTTACCTGCAAACTAAGCACAGAGACACGGGTGGGTAGTGAGCTATCTGATCTAACACTAAACCTTCATGAAGGGCGGCCACTATCAGTGGAGGGAAGGGATCTACAGAAAAGAGGCACAGGAGTGCAGGCCAAGATGGCTGACAAAGAGGCACAGAGGTGAGTATGTATACCCCCCACCTAGGACTGTCTAGAGGGAAAGCAACTAACAGGCTAGCCCCAGCTCTGGCTCTGTCATGCCGTCTTCCTGTACTTCCTGCCCATCAAAGCTGCATCCTTATAACAAGCTGTCTTTTCATATGGGTGGGTCTGTTTCTGGCGCGCTGAGAATCCACAAAGGAGAAAAATCTTTTCACTCAGAGCTGTTCAGTCCACCAGAAGTTCTGTGAAATCTGGGGCTGTTTCCTTCCCCATGTGTTGGCATACAAGGACAAAGTCATTAAGTGGCCACCTCATCCACCCAGCCAGGAGGACAACACTCAGCACAGGACTCGGCCTTACCCGTCAACTTCTCTGCCTCCCGTCGGAGCCAAGTGTTCTGAAAATACTCAGCAGGTACCTGGCACTGGAGTGCCAGGATTGATCCAGAGAATTTAATCTAAGGAATGAGTGTTGATGAGGTACAAGATTCTATAACAGAAATTAACCAGGGTCAGAGATGAAGTAAGATATGGAACTGGCCTTCAGGAGGCTGACAATCCTAGAGGCCTACAGAAAAATGTTAGAAGTACTAGAAGAGAGAGATTTCCATGGAAAACACCTGAAGAAGCAGAGTTCCCTATAGCAAATGGGCAGAAGACAGAGAGAGGCTGAGGAAAGGCTGGTTGGTGGGGCTTAAGGAAGGTGACTGGGAAGCCTTCTGGATTTGAGTCCATGATGCTGTATGCAGATGTCATACAATGAGGGGTCAGCAAATGAGGCAACAGGTATGCTGCACAATTGGTGACACAACTTAGCTGAAGTTCCAGTCAAGCCCTAGGTCATGGCCAACACCACCTTGTGTTGGGTAATCCTTCTGACAGTGTCCACAGAGAAACAAGATTCTAAACTCTACACGATACCTATTGTTGGTTTGGCAGCAAATATTCCTTCTAGAGCTCCTCAGATATGAAAGGACATGGCCATACCTGCCAGGGGAGAGTGGGGACGAGGAAGTGAGAAGAGAGTCTAGCACTGGGTGGCTGGAAGACAAACTCACAGAACTGAGACCCTTTCAAACTAGAAGCTTCTTCATACAGAGAGTCTGTGTGCTGGCCTGGTCCTTCTGCGGGGTAGCAGCCGCTGGCATCTAGCAGCACAGGGCTTGGAGCTAAGCTAGGCTTCCTCTTAGGGCCTACGCCAAGTGCGAGGCCTGAACGCTGCCGCCTGAATGCTGGCATTAGAAAAGCCTTGTAACTTGTCCCAGTCCTCTGATGGCTTGGAGATAGGGGTGACCAGCCCAGCAGGGTCACCGTGTAGGATGGGACAGGCAGCAAGACCACAGCTGTACTTGTCAAGTGACCGAGGCTGGGGACTGGCAGAGCACGTGTGTTCACTCAGATCCAGAATGCACGTGAGTCATGATGTGGTTGGTCTGTCATATTTATTCATTTACATTGTTTAGAGTTTATATTAACCATTTGGCACCTATTTCTTTCCTCTCAAAACACTTTTTCCTCAGACTTTTCTCCCCTGTATTTCCTGTGCCCCTTTCTGGTTATACCTGGCTACATGCTCAATCTACTTGAGTGCTTTCTCCCAATGTAGTATAAAAGACAATCACAGTTTTATGCAAGAATGACAGAGATTTCCTTCAAATGAACCTGTTTAAAGAGAATTTCAGAGCTCCTGTCCCAGGCTCCTGTCAGTCTATTGTCTTTTCCTGTCCTAAGGAGATACTCCTCCCAGCACCCACATTGGGACTGATGTGTTTGTACAATAGCAAAACAGGTTTTTTTAAAAACCTAGTAAAAGAATATTAAAGAAGAAATACTTGTTTCCTCAAAAATGGTGGGGAAGGCATCCTCCCATTTCAACTCTCTGAAACCCAGAAAATATTGAGATGTACTGATGTGAAAGGCAAAGTAACCAGGTACTGGTGGCTCATGCCTATAATCCTAGCTACTCTGGAGGCTGAGATCTGAGGATCAAGGTTCAAAGCCAGCCTGGGCAGGAAAGTCCATGAAACTCTTATCTCCAATTAACTACCAGAAAACCAGAAGTGGTGCTGTAGCCCAAAGTAGTAGAGTTCTAGCCTTGAGCAAAAGAGCTCAGACACAGCACCCAAGCCCTGAGTTTAAGCCCCATCACCAGCGAAGAAGAAGGAGGAGGAGGAGGAGGAGAAGGAGGAGGAGGAGGAAGGGCAAGAGGAAGGGGAAGGGGAGGAGGAAGGGGAAGGGGAGGAAGAGGAGGAAGAAAGGCAAAGTTAGTCTTACTGTGTGTGGGGGCATACAGGAGCTTTACAAAGTTCTAAAGTGATCTCTGTGGGAGGTGAATGCACATGAGGGGAGAGAGGAGAAGAGAAGAGGAGCTATTGCTCAGAGCACTAGCATGTCTACAGACCACCGTTTACTGAAAGCTTAGCCAACCCAGTGCTACAGGCTTCAAAAGGATTCCAGATACCACAAAGAACATAGGCATTCCAGTCTCTGACCCCCGAGTCCCTCTCCAGATCTACTCATAAACAAGAAATTGAGAGCACCTACTTAGGTATAACCCAATGCCAAGTCAGAAATGGCGGACACCATGGGAACTTACCCTGCCTCAGAAGTCCGAGAAACAGAAGCACTGTGATGCTCCCCGCGGCTTCCGGGCGTGCTGCGGCGGCTCTCTGAGTCACTCACCGGTCTCTTCCCCTGGGAGGTCTGACTGTAGGCAAAGGCTGCAGGATCATCTCCATACCCATTCAGCAGGTCATGTTCTGCTCGAGTCCTGGACCTGGCTTGCCGATGCCCCCTGGGATTATCCTCACGTGGTCTGGGGAGGTCTCGTGATGGTTTGTATCCATGAGAAATCAGGAGATCTTCCACACTGTACATGATGGGCTGGTGTCATCCGAGCTCACTAGATTGGAACCATCATGATGGCAGAACCCATCACTGCGGAGACAACAACAGAGAATTTCATTTGTGCCCTGAAGAACCACAATTCCCTTTTTCTACAGCACAGAGCTCATAGAAAGCTGAGCCACATGGCTCACTTTGAAACCACTCTCCAGGTATCTGCAGAGAAGGGCTGGCATAGTACCAGCTCCAAGGAACATGGTGATGGATGTGTGGTTGGCACCCAGGTGACTGCCACTGACCACTCATCTCAACCCAGCAGACCCAAAGATAAACTCAGATGTGCACACTGCAATTACAACTTCATGTTGCTAAAAAGAGAAATTCCCGGTGTACGGTTTCATCGTATTTCACACTCCTGCTCCCGAGGGCCACCGCAAGATCTTTAATCAATGCAAAACCTCAGAACACCTCAGCGGAAGCAATCAGAGGAGCAACTACAAGGGCAGCGCCCAGGATGGCTAGCTAGCAGTTAGGCTTGAAATGAGAAAACACGCAGTTCTCAATCAAGCAAACACACACAACCCATAATGTGAGCCAAGAGGTTGCTTTTCCATACAAAATGGTTTCATTATGTTATCTTGCTCATATTATTGGGGTTTTCTTTGTGCTGATTCTGGAGCTTGAACTTAGAGCCTGGCCACTATCCCTTAGCTTTTTCACCCAAAGCTAGTGATCTACCACTTGAGCCACTCCTCCACTTTCAGCTTTTTGGTGGTTAATTGAAGGTAAGAGTCTCATGGACTTTCCTGCCCAAGCTGCCTTTGAACTGCGACCCTCAGATCTTAGCCTCCTGAGTAGCCAGGACTACAGGTATGAGCCACCAGCTCCAGGAGTTTTCTGCTTGTTTGTGTGTTGAGACAAGGTCTCTCTCTGTAACTCTGGGACTCGATGTCTCTTGCCTCCACCTCTCCAGTGCTGGAATTCTGGTGTCTGACTGGGCACGAAACTCTTAAGAGTGGAACTTCTTCCAGGTGATTTTTGGGGAAATCTTTCACATCTTTCAGTCTAAGATGTCCACACCCAAATCCTGCCTCTGACCTTCATTGTAGCTTGGCCCAGTGTCAACTCTCTGAAGGCAAGAAACCAAGAAATTAGAAAAGGGGCAGAAGCCCAGAAGTTGCAGGGCAGGAGGCTGCCAGTTCCTTTCTTCTAAGAATGTGAAAGGCAAGCGTAAGTCCTGGCCGACCCCAGCCCCATTTTGCTAGTAGATGGACACAAGAGTCTCTGTGGCCATGGTAAACAATGGCCGTGTGCTTCTTGCCAGTGGAAACTGTCCCTGCTTGGTACACTGTCCTGGCTCATTCTGCCCCTGTGAGGAGCACTGTCCTACCTCACTCTATGTCCTCCATTGGAGCCCAGGAGCAGCACAGCCCTGTGATCAGCTTGGAAAGGATGGCATCTGCAGATCTGTGATCTTCCATCATGTCTCTCCATTGCCTGGAAGGCTGACAAGCTCTGACAGTCGCTGTACTCACAGCAACTTCCTGACACTAACACTGTATGACTTTCAGGGACCCATGACTGTGTCATTCCTTGCAAGAGGGGTGGGAAATTTGCCTCATGAAATCATTTGGTACATGATGGGACAGATATATATAGATGCTTCTAGTTGGCTGCCACTCAGCCATCTACCTGTATTGGTAATTTTGTAGGGCCTACCAATGATGTTATTAGAAACATCTAAATGGGCCAGGGCAGAAAGAAGGTTACCCACTCCTGCCCTACACAGAAAAGAAAGGACCAGAGAACCTGGACAAATCACTGAGCTAGGGACTACCGAGGAAAGCCTACACATAACAAACTCAGGTTATGAGTCAGAGACTTTTCACATCCTAAGCATCTAGCACACAGAATTTTCCAGGACAAATGTACACATGGGAGAAAGGGGTTTGCGATAGATTTTGAAGAATGATTAGGAGTTCCTTGGATAAACTGTATGTGTCCATGTATGAGGGGTACTTAGCACCTAAATAGACTGTGAGTACAATAACTTAGCAATAGGATTCTAGTGGCCTAGAGCACCAGTATCCCTTTTTCTGTGCCCCAGATCTGGTTATTCTTGGGGAATTTGTCTGTGTGGTAAAGAAATCCTCTAGTAAGAGGATTTCACACATGTAGGTAGGTCATAGGTCATCTTCCTCTTGGGTTAAGGAAGGAATATGTCCACAAATATATTTAGCAAAAACTTAAATGGTATGACAACTCATGTCAAGCCCTAAATATCACTCAGAAAAGATCAACCTTGTAAAAGCCATAACTTCAACCTTATTGATCTAAAGTCTAATGGTCTGTTTTGTGTGTGTGTGTGTGTGTGTGTGTGTGTTTGTGTGTGTGTGTATGTGTGTGTGTTTTGTTTGTTTGTTTTTGTCATGGGGCTTGAACTCAGGGCCTTGGCACTGTCCCTGAGCAATTTTGCTTAAGGCTAGCATTTTGTCCCTTTGAGCCACAGCTCTACTTCTAGCCATTTTGGCAGTTTATTGTATATATGGCTCTTACAGACTTTCCTTCCCAGGCTGGCTTTGAACCATGATCCTCAGATCTCAGCCTCCCAGGTAGCTAGAATTACAGGCATGAGCCACCAGTGCCCAGCTGTGGTCTGACTTTTGCTGACCCCTTAGAGGCTGGCAGCCCATAAGGAGTAGGGGTACGAATACACAGGCTTCCCAGACAGAGGTAAGAGCTGACTCACAAACCCCATCACCAACCCAACAGTCACCACCCAAATTCACGGAGGCTTCCCGTTCCTGAGGTCTCACTCTTTGCCTTTTCCAGCCCATCTCACGGCTGGGGCTCCTGCTTCTTTCTGCATTGCACACTAAGCATGAACCTCTCCCAATGGCCGTTTCTGAATGGCCATGGTTATTTCTAATCTCTGCCATATCAGCTTGCTTCTTCAGCATCCTTATCTATTTAAAATGGAATGTGCTGTCCTAAGAGGTAGCAGGTTCCCCACCACACACAGACACACACAGACACAGACACACAGACACAGACACACACAGACACACACACACACACGCACATGCACACACACACACACACACACACACACACACACACACACACACACACACACACACACATCAATCACCCTGACCACCAGGAGGGAAGAATGAGGTGCTGATGAGTGGGCTCTGGCATCAAACAAGTTTAAAAGATCCTTTCCAGTCCTGAGATACCAGTTTTCTAAGGCTACAGCATTTTAATTCTATCACCTAGCTGCTAATTCAAAGGGCTGGTGTGTAGGCCATCACAGGGACAAATGTGTGGCATAAACCTGTCACTGTCACTATCATAACTATTTATTGCGTTGTGGAAAGGTAGCAAATAGCACAGATCAAGTTAATAACCACACCAATAGCTCATTTTCCAACCTGCAAAATGGCAATGCTGCTGATATCCTACCTTCTTGGACTACTCTGAATTCCCAATAAGAATATGTGGAAGGATTGACAAGCATACAAGGATATGCTATAATAGTTCTGGTTTCCCTCTCTCAAGAGTTACTTGCACTATGGAAGGATTTCACAGTAGGCATTAATTTTCTCCATTTAGTTTGAATGGTTTCTTGTTTCTTCTTGTATTGTTTGACAAATTACTATCAATTTTCAAAGCCATACTCACTTGACATCACCCATATACCTTGCCCTTTCATGAGTGGATATTCCAATCTCCATTGAAGTCACTAAGAACGAGAAACAGTGCCTTTTTTCTGGCCAACTCTGGGGCTTGAACTGAACGCCTGGAGCTGACCTTGAGTTTCTTTTGCTCAAGGCTATCACTCTACTACTTGAGCCACAGTGCCACTTTTGGCATTTTTGGTAGTTTTATTGTAGATAAGAGTATCAGGGACTTTCCTGGCTTTGATCCTCAGATCTCAACCTCCTGAGAAGCTAGGAACACAGACATGAGCCACTGGCACCCAGCTACACAGTGATTGAAGTAGTCCAAAACATGAAAACACATTTCTACCATAATACTGTGGCAGCACTAAAATGATAAGTAAGACATGCTCTGTGCTCTTGCGAGTCTTAACCTTTAGCTGGAAGACCGATGGAGAAGATCCAATTAAGACTCCACACATATGCGTTAGTAATGGGAGCCTGCCACCTCTCCACAGTGTCAGGGCACCATTACAGGGACAGCCTCTGGATCAGGAAGGTCCCTAATGACTGCCTCAGCCAAATTAATTGTCTACTTCAAGGCTATACAGTAAGAACAGTTTCCCAGTCAGTTCATTCCAAAAGTTGTTCCCTTCACTATTTTGTTTCCTTCAATTAAATGCTCAAAGTACATCTAGACAGAGTGACCAAGAACAAGAAGCACTGATAGTAATCTGAGGTAGAGACTTGTGGCATTTGGCCAAGGTCAAGATAGCTAATTCACAAGCTTTTTTGTTCTCATTATTCTCTACTACACATGTGCTCAGAGAGCAATCAAAGTCTTATAGCAAAATTATCTCCTCTCATACATTGACAAGCACCTATTCTACTTTATGTTTTTTTGTTTTTCCTCTTTTGGCCTGTTCTGGGGCTTCAACTCAGGGTCTTACACTTGTGTGGCTTCCTTGCTAGCTCGTGGTTGGTGCTTTACCATTTGAACCATGCTTCCAGCCCCAGGTTTTTTGTTAGCTATTTTGGAGAATTCTCATGGACTTTTATGACTGAGCTGGCATCGAGTCATGTTCCTCCAGATCCTCGTTCTAATTTGCTTTTTGTAAAATGCTGCTATTTCATGTCATGACCCTCTGATATGGAAGCCAGGCCTGTAATGGCCAGGGTATGAACTGAGATGGCCTCTGAAACTTTTTCTTATCAACCTATGAACCTATATGAAGTTTATCAGTAGTGTGTGTGTGTGTGTGTGTGTGTGTGTGTGTGTGTGTGTGTGTGTGTGTGTGTGTGTTAGTCTTGGAGCTTGAACTCTGTCCCTGAGCTTTGTTGCTCACGGCTAGTACTCTACCACTGAGCCTCAATGCCACTTCTGGTTTTCTGGTGGTTAATTGAAGATAAGAGTCTTATGAACTTTCCTGC